GGAAGGAAGGAAGGAAGGAAGGAAGGAAGGAAGGAAGGAAGGAAGGAAGGAAGGAAGGAAGGAAGGAAGGAAGGAAGGAAGGAAGGAAGGAAGGAGGAGGAGAGTACTGTAATTGTCTTCCAGTAAATAAAAAGCTGCTGCAAAGGTGACAAAAAGGGAAGGTAGCAAAATGTTCTCAAGGCCCAAGATGGACATGGAGTAAGCTCTGAATTTTCCTTTAGAAAGAAAGATTCAAGCTGTATAGCAGGGAAAAAAAAGACTTTTAATAGCAGTGGTGAAGTCCTGGAATAGACTGGGACATCAAGGGACTCTGGCTCTTGAAAACATACCAAATTAAGAGAAAATCAATACAAGTTCCACTCCAGAATGGACTAGATAATCCCCTAAACTCTCTTCCAGACTTAGCAGAATGTAAGTAAGGAAGACCTGAGAGGATCAAAATCCCTTGCCTAGGACTGCTCTCCTTAAATGATCACCTACATACTTATGATACCTACTCAGCCTCCCATAAATTTTCTGCGGCTCTGAAGACCTCAGAGCAAAGGCCAGCATTCCCCTGTCCTCCCCCTTGCAAAGAACTCGGGGCAAAATCTGACCCTAAGGAGATGTCGCAAGAAGTCCAGGTTCCTCACATATCTGTTAGCTGTGGAGATGTGGAGAGATCAGCTCCAGACTGTAGAATTAACACAGTTCTTATTCATTTGATTACAACTGAGAGTATGTCTAAAATGTTTTTATAATTTAAAAACTGATCTTTTCCTACTATCAGATATTATAATGGATCACAGTGTTGACAAATTCCAAAATAATGACATTTTTCTCTCAAACGAGATGCATTTTTTTTATTCTGCATTTTTAATTCACATTCTTAATTCACATTTTTTATTCTGCCTTTTGGCTTCTAACAACTCTCCATCCTTCTGCCAATGTGTGTATGACAATTTCAGATGAAAAATGCTACTCTTACATGCAACAAAAATATGTGCTTCCCTCTGCCCAAATGAATGGAGACTCCTAAGAAAGAAATGGAGATTCCCAAGAGAGTAAAGAGAAGGAAACAGCCAACTGTATATTTCCTACTACTATATTAACTCTTTCACCTTGTACTTTACCACCTGATTTCTTTATTTGTTTCCTATACTAAAGCTATAAAATGCATCTGGGAAATGAGCATTCAAAAATTACAGGATGCTTCTTTATGTATCTTGTTTTCCAATTATTTTTTCAGAAAAGATTCATATGAACTCTTAAGATCTTTACATATAAGATCTTTATAAAATTGAAAAGCATACAAATAGCTAAAGAAAACCCGAATACAAACATGTTTCTTTAATGGACTATTTTGCCTATGTGTACCTCTGTTTTCTATATATCTCTCACAGATTTCTACACATCGTATTTTGGTGCACGGAAGGGGCCTTGGGTCCCCGGGCCTTTTGTGGCCAACACGATGCCCCGAGTGCAAGGTGACGTTTTGAGGGTGCACAGAAAAAGGCCACGTATATTCTACTCTTAAAGCGCAGCCTGGAGCCCGCCATAAAGGAGAGGGCGGCCAAGGGATGGCGCTGCCCGGCCCGCTCCGCTCCGCTCACAAAATGGCAGCCGGGCGGGCGCCTCATGGCGCCGCGTGAGGGCGGGCGGCAGGCGGCGCTGCTGCCCCGCGCACCGAGCCGCGGCCGCGCGCTCCCGCCGAGCCAGGAGGGGGCAATGGCCGTGTCGCTGTCTGCACCGCCTGCCGCCATGGCCAGGTCGCTGTCAGCACCGCTGCCCGTGGTCGTGTCGCTGTCTGCACCGCCTGCCGCCATGGCCGCGTCGCTGTAGG